CTGCCCGTCGAGCGCGTCTGGGAGCGCGTCTCGCCCATGGGCGCGTTCGAGTCCAAGATGCCTGGCTACGACCAGTGCTTTCAGGGCTTTTAATACACTGTACTACATCTGCTCCATACGATAAACGAAGGATGAGAGGCTGGCTCAATATCGACAACTCGGCCCGATCATGACGAAATGAATGTCAGGTGAAGAAGTTTATTACAGATAACGACAACGAAACTGGGCCACAGTGGTACATCGAAGTATATGGAGAATTGTATCGGGGGGCCGCTCCTGCCCGTTTAAGAAAAGAATTTAAATACCACATGGTTTTTGGTACCACTAAGAACCCGAGCCTCTGATTGGTCAAAAAGCTGTCTAATTGAACCTATCAATGGTTTGTCCCATCCGTTTGCCCCAATTCTAGGGAAGAGCTTGGGACAAACATCGGTTTGCCTGGGTGGTCCACGTTGAAGTATTCCTCCTAGCGCTCGACGCATCTGGGAAATGTCTCCTTCGGGAAGCTCTGCGCCTTGGCAAAGGCACGCATGCTGCAGTACTTGATGGGGTCGGCTAGACAAGTCCGAGCCAGAATTTGACTATCAAGCACGAAGTACCCTAGAGTCGATATCCTGGACGCGGGTTGCCAAGATGGGCTTCCTTCAACAATCGTTGGATAACAGGAGGGAATAGGATAGCGTTTCTGTGTTACGTAGGTGGAACTTTCCCAATTCAGCTATGTTTTACTATACTAGAAGTGTGGTACCTGGTGTGGTACTCAAGAGAAGGGACGCCAGCATACGGCTGCAGAATGGATGCAAACCGACTCTGGGGTGCTCTGGGGTTGCAGGCCGCAGTGCGTTGTGCGTTTGGACACGCCGCGGCGGGGGCCAGCACGTCCGCTGCGACGATTCGAAGTGTGGCATTGTGCGCGCTACGTGCGCAAGTCCGCCACACATCATGCAGAAGACCGTCGTCCTCGGTACAAGCAACGTGAATGCACCGCATGCGCATGGCAGTCAGCAACTGACAGCCTCCAATTTAAAAAGGCGGGAAACCAATCAAATGTGCTGATTATTGATCATTTTGGCCAATCAGATGACTGCGATAGTTTTTCCCATGATTCACCAAAGACGCGCTGTGATTGGTAGAAATGCGTACTTATTTGCATTTGACTTGGATGCCTCTGCGGGCTCATTTTTATTCATGGTACCACTGTGGCCCAGTTTGGTTGTCGTTATCTGTACGCGTCTGCGTCACCAATTATTACACTACATATGGTGACGGAGACTTGTTATTGTCCTACCTCAGTCGATAATTGATGGCGATCACGTTGGTACTACCGGTGACATAGGTCAGGCGGCTCCAATCCACTCAACTAGACACCTCGG